ACTTCTCTCATTGATACAATCATTAAGCTATCCATGCCTCTTCCTTCTCTCTCGAGGGCTGCTCTGTTTCTGTTATTGTCTTCCTCTTTCTTCTTTAGTTCTGTCTCTAGCTCAGTATTTAATAGAGGTACGTCCTCTCTCTCTTTCGGCATAGATTATCTATGGTTCCATCATCCCAGTAACCAATTCAGCAGAATATGAGGGACAGGGATCGGGTCGACAAAGTTCTCATTGATGTCCCAGTAAATGTCTCTCATACCCACTATCTTGAAACAAGAGTTGAGACAAGCATACCAGTAGATATTATGAGGCAAGGGACTTGTGCAGCTGCTCGGTCGATGTAAGGTTTGTGAGAGAAGAAGAAGCAAAAGGCAATTGCGAATGCAAGCATTTCAATGCAAATGAGGAAATCCTGTGAACAGAAGGAAATGAGTAGTAGATCTATAGTAGCCAGACTGAACACATAATTTGCATTTTTCAGTCAGTATATGTTACACCCTTTTGCATGTATGTCACATGGCTTACCTGCATGCTGACTGCAACATCCTTGAATCCATAATTATCTAATGCTTCCTCTGCTTAATGACATTAGCTTTTACTAAAATAGCCGGCTATAATAACAGCTTGCCTAGTAATAAATAATAATAATACTGAATGATGAATAATAGTGTAAATTTAGAAATTGAATGACCAATCAAAAATAAATAAATAGTAATGAAGACAAATTTGCAAAATCAACTCTAGCTTAAAGCATGCATCAACAAGTCATTGAAGTCAAATTGCACAAACTTTTGATTAAAAATTGATGATACACTTGCCTGCAAACTAGCCTTTATATATAAGTCATATTATAGTTACTGAATGGTATTAAAACAAGGAGATTTTTTATTATTATCTTCTATTATCATTGTATAGATGTATTGCTTGTATAAAGATCCCAAAGGAGAGAAGTGTGATACCTCACAGATCACGTCTACAGTTGAATTCAGAAAAAGTGGAGCATTTACAGTAGTGAGTGATAAAGATAAGATTGACCGGTTGCAGAATAAAGTGATGGAGTTGAAATCACAACTAGACGGAAGAAGGTTGCGTACATGCATTTTTAACTAGTGCTGTAACAATACAGAATGTTTTTCAGGCTTCAAGTAGCACTTACGCAGAAAATGGAGACAGGAAGATATCAGTTTCATTCATTGAGACATCAATGGTATCTTTACCTATTGTGGAGACGAATAACTAAAATGACACTATACGTATAAGGATACAGTATTGTCTTGATGTTTTTAAACTGTTTTTATTTAAACCCATAATTTTATTCAGGAATAATAATTTTATTATAAAGGTATCAATTTTGAAGTTGATTACGCAATCAAAAAGCAATGTTTTGCTGCATGGCATAACAATGGAAGATGTCGTAATAATATTCTACCATTGCTACATGCAGTCACATCACAGAGACTAGATCTATATACACTATAAATATAATAAATCCCACAATGGATAGTATTTCTATTGGTGATAATCATGAACTTGTGATCATCATAAGTCTAGTCTAATATAATTTGTCATAATTTAAGTGATACTACTATAGACATTTTTTTGCCACTATCACTGATTACTCACTTATGTAGATCACTATTTTAATGTGATCATCTTAATGGAAAAACATTAATGGACTTGAATTCCATAGTAATTTGTTACATCACTTCAAACTTACTGATTAGTAGTCAGAGAGTCTACTAGTCAATTAGTACTCATTTAAGATGTGGAAAGCAGAAGATACATGTATGTTTTGTGAGTTAATATGTGTCATTGCCTCAGCATAAAAGTGTACTTTATAAAATTGCATGCCATAAAAACTACTCCCACTGATTGAGTGATGGCCTATATAAAGAGGAGAGCAGAGGCAACCTACACATAGGAACAACAGAGTCAGATCTTTTAGGTTTATAACATCACTGCTATCATTTGAAAATGAAGAGGATCTTGCTTCTTGCTTTCTTCGCATTTTTGATCAGCAGCAGCTATTGTACTCCTGCTGGTAAGATTATATATTAAACATTTTCTTCAAATTTTCAAAATTTTTTTGCAGGTGATGATATAGATAATGAAGAAGCAGCTGATGCTGCAGAAAACAGTAAGAACATTTAGTATTTGATTGAGTTATCATCTACAATTTTGCATTATAGGTAAATTCAAAGAAACTGATGACCTTGATTCAGGTACTGCAAATAGATATTATCCTTGCAATAATTTTTAAAACTTATAAAATACAGAATTGGCGGCTAATACAGAATTGGGCACTAATACAGAAGCAGAGGCAACAGATGATAAAGGTATACACGCTCCATTGACTCCTGTGTAAACTGTGTTGCATGCAACAAATGTTGCATAGTGTATGTTGGGCTTAACACTGCATTGGTTGGTTATACCTTTATCATCTGTTGCCTCTGCTTCTGTATTAGTGCCCAATTCTGTATTAGCCGCCAATTCTGTATTTTATAAGTTTTAAAAATTATTGCAAGGATAATATCTATTTGCAGTACCTGAATCAAGGTCATCAGTTTCTTTGAATTTACCTATAATGCAAAATTGTAGATGATAACTCAATCAAATACTAA